TTTATTTATGTGCCATTATCGAGCATACCTTCGAGGCATGTTTGTAGTCAACAGTGTTCAACTAGAACGATGTTTCATATGGTAGTCATTCCAGCCGTAAATGAGTGCACTCTGTTTCGACCAGATTAAGAACTGGACTATAGCATGAGGACCACACAAAGTACATATTTTGGCGTGTCTCAATATCGCAACGGGGCTATGACGAAAATATTATTTTGCTTTTAACATTCTGTTAACTGCCATTAGAAAAGTTTAACTCTCAATATTTTGGAGGCGTTCTTTTCAACATCATTACTCGTGGTCTATAGTGATCAGGTCAGTAATTTTTGCTTTTTCAATAATTGACCAAGCACTGAAACTTAGTTTGAACACCAGAGGCTCAAATACTGTCATCTGAGAATACGAGCGGTCAACTCCAAAGCAAGTCAACACATCTGTCTGGCCATTGTAAGACGTATGGGTGCCCAGACCCTTAGAGTTTAGAAGAAGAAATGCGTGCCTCCGTGGAATGCGGGCCTTGGCAAGTAAGTGTTTAGTTTTGCTAGTAGTTTATTAAAGATAACTGCTGATTTGCAATCAAATTTAAATCTCACAACGAGACTGCACACTGACGTGCTGTAACGGCTTGTGCACCTCTGTGACCCAGCGAACTACACAGAATGGCTTTTGTCGAACCATAGATCTAATCATACCTGGAAGGTCAATGGGAAAAGGTCAGACGAAATCCAGTCTCCTGGTCCTCCAGGTTGAGTTGGTGTCTTAGTCAATAAAACGTGGGGGAGGTGAAATTAATCCAATTTATTGAGCCTCCAATCCGCCTTAACCCCTGCCTTGTGGTTAGGTTTGTGTCAGAACTAACGGATTTGGTTGAGAACCCTAATCGTCCCCCTGCTTAGCGATTGGACTCCCTAGCAGTACCCCTCCATAAAGCTCCAATGAACACAAACTAAAATTAATTTCATGCTGCATCGGTCGTTGCGCAGGATAATCAGGACTGCGCTGTCCATTGCATAGAGGGAGGTGGGCAGTGATAGGTTGCCTACTGTTCAGACATTCGAACCTTTGTTTAACTGTCTTCCACACCCAACCGTTCCCCCTTGCCCATTCTTCCGACCCGTAACAGTCCCCCAGGCAACTTGTTCGTCACTCGCCAAAGGTCGTTGCCAAATAGCACTGTAAATAGTTTGCCTGTAAATAAAGTGCTGATTTTAAAGCCTCGTCAACCTCTCAATCTGAAGACTTACAAAGTGAGAACTCTGATGCAGGTGACTTAACAAGCGTGTCTTGTGTGCACAAAGAATTCTTTAGAAATTTGTCTGTCCGAGACAATAATTCAGGATCCTAGTATCACAAGCCACCTGATTGCGCCGGGTCTATCCTCGGGGTATTTCCTTCGTACATCAGGAGACAATGAGGCCCACTCACTGGGTCAGCGTGGTGTAGGTATCGTACTAAACGATCAAGCTGAAGTCCCACTGATAGACTGAATATTCGTTTGTGCACAATGAGACTCCAGGGTTCCGTTAGTGTTCGGAAGGGCAGCAACATCAAGGTGATTGTTCATCATTCTCGCATATGTACCAAATAACTGCAGTCCCACTTCACAAAAGGACAAATTTTACAAGCTCGCCGAACTCATTCGGTTGAGAGGCTGTTCTGACATTTTAGTGCTGGTAGGTGATTTTAACGCGCAGGTTGGAAAACTGAGCGCATCCGACGCCTTTCTAGGAGGGCATTTCGCTCTTTCAGGTCCAACGAACGAATAACTGCGATCGATTACTTCATTCTTCGACTCATTGGTCATCGGCAGAAATCGCCTCCTCGAATAGCTTACCATCGTCTGTGCACGCTATGAGGAGAGGCTGGGACAGGAGCTAGGAGAACCGCGACATTGTGGAGTAGACCAACAGTGGGACCATATTAGATATGCGATGAGCTCAAAAGCCAGTTTTTCTTGTGGAACCGAGCCCGAAGATATCTCTCAGGAGTCAGTAACCCTGATAGATCAAAAGCGAAAGATCCCAATCTGCCAGGATCAGCATAGGGACCGATGGCTCCTGCAATGTCAACTCAGGAAAATCCTTAGGAAAGATCATGCAAACTGGTGGGCCAAAACAGCTAGTGAAATGGAGGTAGCTCCTGCATCAGGGAATAAGCCGACTGTTTCACATGATACGCAATACCGGAGATCGCCACATGCCGGTAAGTGAGATCATTGGCGATAAAAGTGGATCGAGTAACCACAATGAAGAAGAACGAATGGATTGTTGAGCAGAATATTTTAGTGAACAGTTCAACTGGCCTAGTGCTAATGCAGTCATTCCAGCTATTGCATCTGAAACCCCATGGGTGGTAACATGTGAGCCCCTATCGGAATTGGAAGTACGAAGCTGCATTCAATCATTAAAGAAAGGGAAGGCCGCGGAACCTGATTGGCTTCTCCCTATTCTTTTCAAGGCGGGCGTTGATTCTCTTGTTGACTCGATTACTAGATTACCTCGCAGTATTCGGTCCAAGGAGCGTATCCCTTTGTTCTGGGGTGAACCGTTGATCGTCCCGATCTTCAAGAGGGGATTACACAAACCACCGCGGGATTAGTTTAATATCCATCATCACAAAAAGTTGACTTCTGTGATACTTCGCCGCCTGACACCTTTAAGGGAGACGAATATCGGCGAGCAGCAAGCAGGATTCCGACCAGGTCTCGATTGCATCGAGCAAATCTCCACTCCGCGTCAAGTCCTCAGATTGCATCACACATCATCGAGCAACAATCGCAGTGTTCTTTGACCTAAAAGGAGCCTTCGATTCAGTTGACCGTGAAGCTCTTATGGGGTCGTTCCTTCGCAAAGGAATGCCGCGGATGTAAAACTATTGTGGTCGATAAACTGTATAATATTGGTAGCGCAAGGATCTACGGTGGGCTAAGTAAATCGTTCGAAACCAGGAGCGATGTTCGTCAAGGGTGATCTATTTTGCCATTCCTGTTCAACTTCGTCGAAGAAATACTGGAGAACGCACTTAGTGGTCTCCAAAGTGTTGGTATTTAATGTACAGCTTTTGAGAAGCTGTGCAATTTAGAGCACGCTGATGACTGCTTGTCGAGCAAAGCGCTCTTGGCAGACTGTCAAGTTCGGTAGCTCTGTTTGGCATGCACTTTGCGCCTTTAAAGGTGCAAAGTGATGCTGCAAGACTGGATGTGGTCTACCCCGGCGCTGATGCTTGATGGTCAAGAATCAGCTATAGTGGAATGTTTCACCTACTTAGGTAGTAGTGTGACAAATGACAGCAGCATGGTCAATGAAGGAACCGCCCGCATTTCCAAGGCTCGAGCAGCTTACGCAGGACTGAAACACCTTTGGTTCAGATGCGATATTTCGTTGAAACTGAAAGGTCGTGTATACTGTGCCAATGTACTGTCATTTCTGCGCTATGGTTGCGCGACCCTAAATTTGAGCGTGGACGATATTCGTCGTCTAGAAATCTTTGACCGCCAACGTTTGCGTAGTTATGCGCGGGTTAGATGGAGCGAGCGTGTAAGCAACTTTGAGGTATGGTGTCGCGTATTTAGTAATGATTCAATGGATAATTCGTTGTCCCATCGAATGCGGATGAGTCGGCTTCGCTGGTAGGACACGTATTGCACATGCCCAGCTATCGTCTACCGCACCGCGCCTTATTTGTAGTTGCTGCTCTAAGTTGGAAGAAACCAAGTGGACGTCAACGGATGACGTGGAAACGAGGCCCGAAGAAATACACAGAGTGATTGGGTAGAATAGGTGTCTTCCGTCTTCCAACTTGGGGTCCAAAAGACTCTGCAACTGGTTGGTTGGAGACATTGAAAGATATGGCTACTAACAGACAGCAACGGTGTTCGTGTTGTCATTTTCTATCAGGTCGGAATGCGCACTTAGATTGTATACTATGTATGTTGACCATAGAGGTTCACTTTCTTCGCCTCCCTCTAATTAGACACAATCTTTCTCCATCATGTACTTTATCAACTGATTTGTGTACATTGTGAACGTGGCAGCGATCAGTGAAGTTCGCTTCACTATATCTCGCTGTACGATTATGACTGCAATAGTAAGAAAATCAGATATCAATCACTCTACAAACGATTTACTGTCCCACGTCGTGATAGCAAAAGGAGGTCAGCTTTAGGACCACTACTTATCGCTACTCTCTTAAATTCAGAATGCGAACACTGTTTGAGCATCGCAACGGGATTAGACCGCAGCAACAGTACACTGTCTGGTAAAACGTGAATGAAAACTAATAATGATGCAATACACAGGAACAGCATCTACCACACATTAGCTGTTTTCAACTACCAAATACGTTAGCCGACTCCAACAATTCTATATCGCCTCTAATAGAGACCCAATCATGAGAGAAAAAGAAAAACGAAACAAACAAATACAAAATCGGAGATGTGATTCTGTTCGATACAGGAAGATCCCAGCGGGTCTTCTGACTGAAATGTGCCAATCGGTTCCGAAGGTGGAGAGAAAACCAAGGAAAAGACAGGACACAGAAGGTGAGTGGTAGGATTAGTTACAGAAGACAGTAATAAAAAGTAACTCACTGATCAAATCCTGAAAGTACAAGAGCTCAATGCAAAACTGTGAAAACTTGACTGATCACAGCAACGAATACGAAGTATAAGCGGATGGAACAGATTTTAGGAGGCAGTGACTGAGGGTCTCGAGCGAAAGAGTTCAAGGAAACGAATGTGGAAAAACAACCGAGGGAGAGAGAATGATAAGAAAAGGAAACAGACACAATCACGGATTTTTACTCAAGATACGAGAATGAGCTGAACTATATACAAATGAGAAAAAAGACTAGTATGGAAAATAAGGATTTGTAAAAAGTGAACGAATAGATGATCACGGACAGAGAGATTATTTGGTGTGGAAGCTATGTTTGCAAATGCCAGTTGCCCAGAGGACTACAGGAGAAGAATATAGATCTTATTGTTCTAAGTGACGAACTAATCACACGCAATCAACGCACAAGGCAACCTGGCCAGGAAGACCGACTTGACAGGGACAAATACGTTGCATTTGTGCATCAGCTAATCTAGCTGTGCAATCAAACAGAAGGCGGTCAGCTTGAAACACGCACGACCGAGTTGTGGGATCCCAGTAGGGAGCTGCGGGATTTGACACTGACTCGATACGGTTGCAACGGATGTCATCGGGTAGAAGGGATTCGAGCACACGGTAATGATTGACAGAGGTAAAATGCTCAGGGGCGCAAAACATCAGCGGGGCAGATACGGTGTACGGATTAGATGGACTGGGGACATCAAGCAAGCGCTTGTTCAAATAGGTGGAATTCGTCTGACTGCGTATTTGAGGGCTGATCTCGATACAGGTGTCTGCACAAGACCTATTGGGCAAAGAGGGGAAAAATTGGACACCACCCGAACCGATAGGCGGCCAGCGGATCACATTGGCGTCCAAATCGAGGTAGTGCTCAGTCGAGCCAGCGTTATTCAATTGCCAAGGGGTATGCAAAAGGGCCA